AGGCAAAATACAAAAGATCACACGGCATGCACCACTCCTACTATCTTTGGCAAGATCAAAAGAAGGAAAATCATAATCCTAGTTAGGGACAAAACTAAAAGAATCCATGATACCAGGCCACATCATTCGAATAATTATAAATTTCAAATTCCATCCAAAATCCTAAACCACTTTCAAAATTCTTAGCCTAAAACTTCCAATGAATTCAAAATTTCCTCACTAAATTCAAGGTGAAAGTTCCTATACAGGCTAAGGTAATAAGTCAAATCAAAAGGGAATGCAAAAGATGTCTCATTTTCAAATTCAAAGCGAATTCCAAAATTGTTCAAATGATTCAACTTTTCTGCCTAAATTCGGCAAATAAAATATTGGAAGAAGCAAGGTGTCCAATCCTTAAACTCATCAGAAGGCCATTTAAAATTCATAATCTTGACTCACCTTCAACACAACTCGAACATTAAAGTCTTATAGTGTTGTGTGAACAAAATAGTACCCCAACACCAAGAAACTTTTGAAATCAAGGTTGCTTCAAGTCTTCAACTCTAGAACAACTTAAAGAGATGGAATCACCTTTAGAGCAATGTCCGCACGACACTAAATTATAAACGTATAAGGATTTAACTCCAACAAAATTAAAACACTAGTATTCAACATCCTTTTAATTAAACACAAACACTTCAATATTACTTATTAAAACATCAAGCACCAAAATCACATTGCAATTAACACATAATTAAATCCCATAGTCCGGTATCCTAAACATTTAGCCAAAGATACACTACAAAAATCTTAAAACCTAAGCTCTGAAACCAACTGTGACGCCCCCACTTCTCCCAAGGGCGAATCCAAGGGTATCGGCAAGATGCCTGTCTAAATCTCGCCAGGACTCACTACAAGAGGAACTCAAACTTATAATAAGATTCGAAACTACAAAGAAAAGGTCGCTTCCTTAATAAGTATTCAATTACTACATTACAAGATATCAAGTACATCACTTTCCCCAAATATACAACTTTCAAAAGTCATCTAATCAATTACATTCAAAACCCTAATCAAAAGTATATCAAGTTGAATTCTCCACAATTCTTTCCATTTCGGCTCCTGTTAAGGAAAACAAATATAATGGGATGAGCTAATACTCAGTGAAACCAAGAAAAATAGGCAAAACACATAGTTCAAATAACAATAGTACTTATACGAGAATTAAATCTATAACATTCAAGTAGTTCACAACTAACAATAAAACATACTTGATAAGGATACGGAAGCTCTCAAGAGTTATATTCCACATGCTCTGCCAATGCTCAATCCAATACTTCCACGAGCTGACACTCCGTCAACCGGGTAGGTTATAGGTCCGTAGAACCCCACTTACTTTGCACTCCCGATCACTATTACATCTCCTGCTCCGGGCCTGCACTTCTTTTATATAAGGTGATACTACTCGAGTATGCTAAGCGAGATCTCTCAAATAGATCAAATTTATACAATTTTTTTCCATGGCTCACCAAACTTCATGACCAAGACCATGCCGGTTCGAATTGCAAGGTCGGCTGATAAGTTTGGGCGTCCCCTACTATTATCAATATAAGTTGATGAGATTCACTCCAATCGACATTGATTCAAACATAGTATGATTCACTATTGCAACACTTCACTTTTTTCACTTAGCAAATTCACTCCGTCAACCAGGTAGGTTATAGGTTCGTAGAACCCCACTCACTTCGCACTCTCGATCTCCGTTACACCCCCTGCTCAGGGCCCGCACTTCTTTTATATAAGGCGATACAATTCGAGTATGCCAAGTGAGATCTCTCAAATAAATCAAGCTTATACAATTTTTTCTCATGGCTCGCCAAACTTCACGACCAAGCTCATGCCGGTTTGAGTCGCAAGATCTGCCGATGAGTTTGGGCATCCCTCACAATTATCAATATAAGTCGATGAGATTCACTCCAATCGACATTGATTCACATATAGTATGATTTACTATTGCAACACTTCACATTATTCACTTAGCAAATTCACTTCATACAATTCAATATATAATTCACTTAAAAGAGAACGAGTGCGGTAAAGTACACACTCGACTCGGCACTTTCACAATACTCAATCAATAAGAACATTTAAGCACGTAGCAACACTCCATACACTTGACACTCACCAAGTCAAAAAGTGAGTAAGTGAGCAAATAAGCCTTCAGTGGTCGGCTCCGAGATTCTTTTCAAGATCTTTTTGAGCGCCTGAAGAAATAACAATTATCTATCACTCACAAATACTTACAAACTCCTTGCCAAACAAGAAAGAATGTACACTTGCGCAATACTAAGACAATGTCTTAAAAGAACTTTAATATCTTGAAAATCGAGATTGAAAAGAGAGGATTTAAATTCACAAGAGAAACTTGCATCCTCCATGAAGATGAGTTTAAAATGGATGATCGATATCGAAAGACAACGAAAAGTTCTTAAAAACTCATTTTTCAAAAAATCATGAATTTTCAGCTTTGTGCGATAAACTTAGTAAAATCAAATCTTGAGTTCGATACGTCCAAATATGGAAAAACTTTATTCCGTTGGAAACTAAATCCAAAGTAGTAAAAGTTCCTAGAAGACACTTTGTCAAGATTCTAAACGAAAAGCACTCATTTTTCAACTCAAAGTTTCACTTCCAAGAGGACAGGTTTGAACCAGTCTTGATTTTTTAGCTATTTTTGGAAATTCGGCAAAATTCACAGAAAATGAATCAGTCTTTGAAATTTGTAATGCAGTAAGAGTGTTCTAAACAAGTTTTCAAACACAACAAACAAAACTAAATTCAGAGTTTTGAGCATCAAGATATAATAGCCTAAATTCGGTTAATTTTCACTACTTGAACAGTGAATTTTCAGATTTGAAGAGCAATGTTTTAGGCATCATTTGGATATCGAAATGGTATTGAATTTACACCAAATTTGGTACACTTAAACTTTCATATTTGGAATTCCTCCCTATCAAATTATAGGCAAAAACTCACACGGGAAGGCAGTTAACAAAATGACTAAAATTCATGAAATTTTCAAAGTAAATCTGCCAACCCACTCTTTCTTTCTTTCCAAAGGTTTTTGTCCAATGAAATCAATCCCAATTGACTTTATTTTTGGAACCAAGGTTCCAGAAACATTTGATAAGAAATTGACAAGCAATTGACACAGATTTTCGAGGCAAAACATCCCAAAACAGATTTGACCATTCGGCCAACAAGAAAGGGAAAAGCTTCCAGTTTCCAGCTTTGTTGCACTTTCGAAATCAAATCATATCTCACTCAATACAAATTCGAATTGGGAATGGTTTATGGAGTTGGAAACTGTGTTCAAAATTCTACATTTCATCAGAAAGAGTCATTTCCAAAATCAATTCACAAGTAAGAGAAAATTAAGCCACACGATGCAGTTTCTCCATTCCTCTCGGATAGAGAGTCACAATAGGAGAGCCAAATTTGTTAAATCACTACCGTTCAATCAGTTTGAACTAATAGGTGATTTTTATACCGTTAGAAAGCTATAAATGTCTAGTTTCAAATCCCACAAATGGCACTCAATTTCAACTTTTGTACAACAAGTTATGTTCGAACAAAGAGCTACTGTCCAGACCTACTAATCACAAATTCCAGATTTCTTTCATTTTCAAAAACTCTAGTTTTGGGCAACCAAATGAAATAATTTTTGCAAGGTACTTTGTACACCTAATATACAACATATATCCATCCATTTCATAGTCAAATAACGAACAAAAATTCGAAATGTAAACAAGATAACCACAGGACAGTTTCGGCCAGCTCACATCTCACACCTCTTCCAACTTTCTCTCCATATTCTAACCATAAATCTCTTATATAACACATAAACACAACAATCAAGCATTTTAATTCTCAAGTCAACTACCTATAATCCACCTCAAGACCGCTAGCCTAGAGATTAAAAAAAGAATTGAAATTTCTCAAGTCCTCTAACTTATTTCTTACTTAGGGTTGTAAACTCATGCAAATTAAGCTTCATTTTTTAAGAAATTAGAAAGATTGAAGAAGGTAAAGGGTTACCTCTTGAACCCTAGATGATACCAGAATTTTTTCACCACAAACCCTCCAAGAAATTCCACAAGATGATGCCTTTCTCCAATCTAGAACTAATCTCCAAGTAGTATGTGATTTGGGTGAAGATTTGTGAGGGAAGTGGAACAAGATTTGAAGCAAGATGAAGAAGCTTTCTTTCTTCCTTTTCCTTTGCTGTTTCGGCCGTCCAAAAAGAGGAGAGAGAGAGTGGTTTGAGTTGTGTGAATCTTGTCTTGGAAGATTGAAGAAATTGTGGCCAAAAGCTTTGCAAAAGTCAACTTTGAATAGGGTTCGAATAGTGTCCCGTACTACCACTTTTCTCTCTTGTTCATTTCACTTGTACACTAATCCTCAACTATAATTCCTTTAACACTGTATTTACTCACTCTTATGAGTCTGGTATAACTTTTTCAAATCTCTACTTAATCGTACCTACGCGCAATGCGCGAACTTTCTACTCGCACGTAATAAGGCGAAATTTTTGAACTCACTCACCTCTAAACCCTCAATTAATTTTTCTTAGTTTACTATTGATCATTCTTAATTTTTCAAGATAATTGTACTCTCGGATCGAATATTACCTCGAAAAATGTATATTCGCTATTTTTTGCTAAACAAGTCACAGAAAAATTAAATTTACTAACGGGACGTTTTAAAAATATAATTGAGACATTGTTCCATGTAAATGGATTTAAAATAGTTGAAATAAATTATTCAAAGAAACGGGTAAATAATTATTTAAATAAGCCAGAAAAATAAGATAAGAATAAAAAAAATTTCGGGTCCTCACATAAACAGTGTTGGATTAATGAAACATCTGGTGCGAAAAATATATATATATATATTCTAAACTAGGGATTCAGTGGATAGATACAAGAATTAGACTTTTGAAGTTGAAAAGAACCACAATCATGGATCCCAAGACAAGAAAGCTTGGGGGATCTCTAAAAGTTCCTTTTGTCCAAGAGTTGGCTAAGGAAAATCCCTCTTCTGTTCCAACTCGTTACATACGCCCTGACAAAGACCAATGTCCAACCATCTCTAACGGTGGTTCTTTCCACCAAATACAAGTTGTGGATATGCAATGCTTGTTTAATTCTACTGTGGAGATAACTGATTTGGAGCTTCAGAAGCTGCATTCTGCTTGCAAGGAGGGGGTTTTTTCCAGGTATATATACAAGGATTGAATGTATGACAAACATATATTTGTGTGACAAGCTATTGTATATTTGAAATAGTTTGATTATACAACTTTTTTACAAAACTAAATTATCGAGTGTTGTTATTTCGATGTTTGAACCGTCGATTTTGTGTAAGGTTTGAACCCTAACCAACATCCTAGAAAGGAACTTTAAATTCCCCTTGGTAGCCACTAGACCAAAACTTTATGGTTACCTTTTTCAAGGTTTGAGACCATCCTACTTTTTTTTGTATCGAAAAAAAAAAGAAACCATCTTCAAATGAAATCAAAGTCCTATGAAAAATGAATCCGTTGATGACTTAATCATCTTTTACCTGAATTTTACGAGTGCAAATCAGTTGAAAGTATACATATGCTTATGTGTTGTTCCATCCAGACACTATTACCTATGAGAATAACTGTCAGCAGCTGATTAATCATGGAGTTAGCTCTTCATTGCTGGAGAAATTGAAATCAGGAGTTCAAGATTTTTTCAATCTGCCGATGGCTGAAAAAAACAAATATGGTCAAGAACCAGGAGATGTAGAAGGATATGGGCAGGCCTTTGCCAAATCAGAGGAGCAAAAGCTTGACTGGGCTGACATGTTATACATGATCACTCAACCAGAAGATTTAAGAAAACTTCATTTGTTCCCTAAGCTGCCTCTTCCTCTAAGGTATATTTGACCAACCATGCACAACACACACAAAACGGGGAATTTAAATCAAGTGTTCTATCTTTAGTCTTGTAATTCTTTAACCATGCAGTTTTAGGATAAAAACTGTTTTTGACATGAACTAACATACATAGTATGCTAAAATTTTAGCCAAACTGTATTACTAGTTACTGAACTTTGTTGAATGAAAAAAAAATGGATGGCCGAAAAGAGACATTCATGAAAATTTAATGGCCACTGATGCACTTTGCCAGATGGTTTTGATTGAAGCAATTCAATGATACCATTTAATTTAATGTTTTCATGTCTATCTTAATTTGAATGCTAATGCAACAGATAGGTGAGATTTTTTAGTAGGTAAAGTTGATTTTTCTGTAAAATTATCTACTGAGAAAGATAGAATAAAAGAATATGTTAATGTGATAATTTTTAAAGTCAACATTTCAGATTTATGTTTAGGGAAGTATAAAGACCCAGAAATGGCTTAATACATGATGACGAAAGGTCAAGCAAAAAAATAAGTTGAAATGCCAATGAGAAATTAATTACCCTGCCACCCTCCATCCACTATCTTCCAAACCAAATAAAAAGAGAAAAATATATTTAGAACAACAATATGAATAATTCAAAACATTAACCTATTGTACATATGCTAGTAAGTCCACTAAGGGTCTGTTTGATAATATAACAAAGTGCTGAATCTGAATTTTTTCAGATATTCAGATGTTTTAAGTGTTTGATAAATGAAAATCTATTTGCTCAACTTGTTAAGCAGTGTTGAACCTGTGTGTATTTTTTTCAGCACAAGAATCCTAACTGAATGCTTAATTCTGATAAAAATCAATAGAATTACTTCAACTACCTTATCTTATCCACCAAATTTACCCTTATTTGTTAATTATATTCAAAATTCTTATCTAATTAAACAACATAATATTCTCTATCTAACGATTTTTAGTTTCTCTTTTCTCTTTTTTTAATGACTTTCACATCTTCTCCATACTCCTCATATAATATATTTCATCTTTTATATTAATTTGATTTGAAAATAAATATTATCATTTTCATACCTAACAATTTAAACTAATTAAATCATAGATTCTATTTCTTTTTTGAATGAAAGGATATAAGGGCAAAATTGTCAAATTAAACTTATTAAGTATTCAGCTCTAAATATTTATCAAACAGTATAAATAGGTTTAGTATTAAAATTCAGACATTGATATATTTTTTTCAGTGTTTAAAATTCAGCAAATTAATTGTTTCAGTATTCAGATTTCAGAATTCAGACTTCAGAATTTAGATTTAGATTCAGTTTTATCAAACGGAACCTAAGCCTTAAGAAGCTTTCTTTTCACTCTTTGTGAGATTGAGAAAAATAATGACCTACCAAGAATTTCCGTTTGTGTTTTGATCAAAGATGATTTTTTTTAATAAAATATCATATTTTCATTAAAATTTACACTAATGGTAGAAATTATATTATCAAATATATACAAATATAAAATAATAGATCTAAAGAAAGGATACTACAAATATGAAGAACAATAAAAATTACATTATAAAGCTCCAAATTTAAAAAATAAGATAAAATAATTGTAGTTCTATGAATATCTATGCATGCTTGTAATCATCACATCTGCTGATTAACGGTTTCAAGTCCATATATTATAGTGAGATCTACCGAATAGATCTAAGAAATTTCAGATCTAATAATCAAAATCTGAAAAACTCAAATATAATAAAAGAAAAATGAAAAAATTATCAAAAAATCTTACTAGGAATCCTTAGAAGAGAATAAAATTCCACTAAAAAATTTAGGAGAGAAGAAAGCTCTCACTAGACAACTCTAAGGAGAAAAGATGACAGGTGTCGAGTCTATACAATAATAATTACTTACTCAAGAAAAATACATATTTTGCATATAGCGGTGAGTAGAATTGAATCCACAGGGACTGGGGATAAGTATGAGAGATTTTTTGAGAATATAAAATAACTAACTATTTTTTTTAACACAAAATTAAGATTTTATTAAAGGCAAGAAAACAAAAATACACAGGCTTTAATGACAAACAACTCGAGTGCGAATAGCAGGAGTCTGCGACCTATCTAAACCTAAGGCCCCCCTTGCCAATCTTGGCAATTCAGACTGTGACATATACAAGATAATACCCTCAGACTGTGCCCCAACCTTGGCTAAGGCATCCGCCACCTGATTCGCCTCCCGATAACAATGCCTGACCGTCCACTCCAATCCCTGGATTGCCTCTAACGCATCTAGATCCTACCGAACTAACCACGGACACCTCAATTTTCTTACCAGTAGATTGACTAACACAAGAGAGTCCACCTCCACCTGAATACGCGAAAATCCCCGAAGACGGCATTGTTGCACCCCAAACACCAAAGCCTTGATCTCCGCTTGAAGGCATGTTAGTTCCCCAAACGGAACAGAGAAACCAAATAAAAAAGCACCAGACGAGTCCCTAAGCACACCACCCCCGCCACTAATGCCCGGGTTGCCAAGCGAGCATCCATTCGTATTTAACTTGAAGACCGCCTGGGCTGGAAATTCCCAACAGACCTCTCTATGGGAATACCGAGGCCTCCACCCAGAGACGTTGGAGTAGACTGCCGGCCAAAAACCAACCCCAGTAAACTCACCTGCAGACTTCCTGGAAAATAGCCCCACGACATCCGCCAGGATACGATCACAAATGGTCTAACGGCGCAGGAGCTGTCCCTCAAAAATTGCAAGATTCCGTGCCAACCAAATATGCCAGCAAATAATGCAAGGCAAAACCGTGTGTAATGACTCCATACGAGAGTGCCGAACCGGTTGGCACCACCAAGCCGCCAACCGCGACCGCACCCCTATTCCTCTATAACTCACTCCAGTGCCATTCCCAAAAAAGGACCACAGAAATTAAGCTAACTCACCTTCCGCAAAAACATGCTCCAACGATTCAGATTGCGAGGCCAAGCAGCAAAAACACTTGGATGGGCCATACACTTGCAATCTTCCTAGTGACGACGCCATCGGTAACCGATCCCACAGCAGTCTTACCATGAAGAATGATATCTTGATCGGGATTACAGTGTGCCAAACCCTATCAAACATGAAAGAAGAGGGGGTCTGGCCACCAAGCAGCCTGTATGTGGAAGCAATGGAAAAATCCCCTGACTCCGTCAAGGCCCACACTGCACGATCGTCCGCAGATCCCACTGGGGCAGCTTTGGAAACTATCTCTGAAACTATGTCCTCGGGAACCCAAAGCCGCAACAACTGTTGATTCCACCTTCCATTCAATATGTAATCCCTAACTAAGTGATCGGAAACACTTTGTAACCGTTGACACAGAGGACCAGACCCCATCCAATTGTCAAACCAGAAATTACACTGTCCCGACCGCATCTCCCACCAAAGATTTTGCTCCGCCACCTCACGAACTTGGAGCAAGCGCCTCCACATATATGAACTGCCTTGCACTGCCTCTACCATGCATGGATGACTCTGCCGACAATACTTGGTTTTCATAAATGTTGCCCATAAACACTCCCCTGTACGGAAACGCCACCACAATTTGAGCGAGAATGCGGTATGAACATCCAGTAACGCCCGAACACCAATCCCTCCCTGTGACGAATCGGCACACAGGTCTGCCCACTTGATCCAAAGATGTCGAAGGCCACCTTCCCGCTCCCCCCAGAGAAAATTTGCCATAGCCCGTTCAACCAATGTTAGGACTCCCTTCGGAGGACATGAAGCTGCCAATAAGTGAGTCGGGACTGCTGATAGTACGTGTTTGATGAGAACGATCCGACCCCCATTGGATAGAAATCTGGAACTCTATGATGAAATTTTAGAAGTGACTGACTGTACTAGCTCCATGAAATATAGGCACTTCTGACGCCCCACAAAAAGCGGACATCCCAAGTAACGCACGGGAAACGTCTTAAGACCAAACCCAGTTACCCGTCGAACCCTTGCCACACACTGACTAGGCAATTTAGCATGCACCATGAACCCGCACTTTTGAACATTAATCTCCTGTCCCGAAATTGCTCCATAGTCCTCGATTGTCTGCATAACACACCTCAGTGAAGAGGACGAAGCACTAGAAAAAACCAAAACGTCATCTGCGTAACTGAGATAAGTGATCTTAGGACATTCCCGCGGAACTGAAAAGCACTTGAACTCCCGATGCTCTACTAACTTGTTTAAAGAACGGGACAACACCTCCGCGCCAATAATAAACAATCCGGGAGATAATGGGTCCCCTTGACGAAGTCCTCGCGTAGACTTAAAGAAACCCACACTGGCCCCATTGATTAGTATCGAAAACCATACATTCGACACTAATCTCCAAATCCTATCAATCCACTGCTCCCTAAATCCAAATCTTCTCAAAACCATAGTAAAAAAAATCTAGGAAACACGGTCATAAGCCTTTGACATATCTAATTTCAGAGCAACATCAGCATTTCTGGAAGTCCTCCCCATATTAGAGAGCAATTCTTGCGCAAGCAAGAAATTATCCGATATAAGCCGCCCCCGAACAAATCCACTCTGCTGTGGGGATATGATCTTTGGAAGGACTTGGGCCAAGCGATCCGCCAAAATTCGCGAAATTAACTTGTTAACAAAGTTACACAAGCTAATTGGCCGAAATTGTGAAAAATCCTTTGGGTGCCTAACCTTAGGAATGAGTACAATGGAGGTCGCGGAAACAGCACGAGGCAACTCAGCCCCGCAGAAAAAACTACACACTGCGCTAACCACATCCGCACCGATAACTGACCATGCTACCGTAAAAAATTTGCCCGTATATCCATCCGGACCCGGTGCACTCTCCCCATCCATCACAAACACCGCACTTCGAATCTCCTCCTCAGAGGGAAATTGCTCCAACAAATCATTCTCCTCATCAGTCAAAATTCTTGGAATATGCTGAAGAAAATCAGAGGAAGATACTGGACACTGATCCGTAAACAGGCCCTCAAAGTACCGTACCGCCTCTGCTCCAATCTCCTCCTCCGACTCCACCCATTCCCTTTGGCCATTTCTAATCTTGTGAATGATCGAACGTACCCTTCGATTCTTGACGACAGCGTGAAAGAACCT